ATGTCTGCAGATATCCCAAGGACTGTTAACCTGTATAGATCTGATGGTTAACATATTCCCCCCTACAAAAGAACAGTCATACAAAAGCATTTGTTTTATTCAAAACAAAATTTGTTTATCATCCAAACAATTCATGTATCCATTTGTTTATCATTCAAATAATAAACTAATAACAAATAATCCATTTATCATCCAAGCCACTGTTTTGATGATAAAGTGCTACAAGAAACATACAGGATTTCTCTGGTCATCAATAACAAATTAATTCATCTGTGTGCTTACGACAGAAGCGCCTAAAACACTTCATCAAAAGAAAAGCTGAATTGCTTCCTGTGGGTTCTCTGTAATACAGAGGCGGCAGTTGTTGCAACACTTATTTCTTCAAGCAATATCATGAGAACACTGTGCATATGCTAAAAAGATGATTATCATGGAATACACCATGTGTGAATATACTGTGGGAATATACCATTTGTATACTAAAACCAGCTTTATGACATGTTATGGTAATGAACTTTATGATACAACACACCAAAAATCCGATGCCTTTTTAGAACTAAAAGTCCGATTTGTTTATTCTAAGTTTGAAAGAAAAAAGTTGAAATAGCTATGCCGAATCACTTTTTCAGGTACTCCTGAAATGCTGAAACAGTTACTCCAAAGGTATTTCAGAATTCAAGGGAAGGGTCAGTGTGTCAGTAGCACACAACGAAGTGCACCTCAGCACGTTCCCTCTCTTTGCTTTCTATTAATGATGAGGTGTCTACAGTTTATAAACCAACTAAAGTAGTTATGAAACCAGTATGACTTCAAAGATCACATTTTCATTATCTTGCTTGTAATTTTTACATTATTTGTAGCCAAACATAGTTCTGAATATTGTTTTTTTCCATTAGGTTTCAAAGAAATGTGCAACAGAGGCTGTATAATGCATATTACTCACAAATCTCTCAGGATCAGCTTGTATACGCAACTCTGAATTGAGCAAAGGATTTTATATTTTTCTAAGTTTTAAGGCTTAATTCTGCTTTACAGCTACACAATACAGCTATTTATGAATTTGCCCTGAGTGAAAAAATAAGAGCTTATAGACTGACAAGTGTGATAAAAATTATTGACAATTCTTTCAGCTGACCCAAACAAATAGATTCTAATCTGAAAAATACAAATTTTGGCAAAATCTTACACATCAAAGCATTAGCTCAGGTAAAGGTAAACACCATATACGCTCATGAGTGAATGCTTCCTTTAACTTACTTGGAGCTCTGGCTCCAGGATTACTTACTAATATGATCATGGTTAAAGTGGTAAAAACTAGTGGAAGGGAATGGAGTGGGTTTCGCCCATCCCACCTGCTGCGGGAAACGAGAATGTTGGTTGATTTGTCTACAAGTCCTTCAGTCTGTAACCTCTCTAAAACACCTCTTCTGCGAGACGTGAGAACTGGAGTCTAAAATGCCTCAGCAAATAACGATCAGGGAAGTAAATTATGCTCATCAAGACCTGAGTCTACAGCCTATGGACCTCAGTCCTACAAACAGGGTCACAGTAAGACTTGGCAGCCTCCGTGGGCCTGACTTTAGGTCAGTAGAAATAGCACATGCAGGATTTAAAAGCAGGGAAGTTGCTGAACCTAATAATGCTCGTTCTCCAGTATCAGTTCTAAGACTCCTACACCATTTTCAGTGCTCCTACCAGCGCTCACAATGATAGGAATGCTAACATTTTAAATATTATATGCATGCACGCTTGTCTGTGGGAGAGGGGGAGAAAGAATGACCATAGGTAAGTTTTTCCTCCCCGGTCAGAACCATTTAAACAACATAATTTATCTTTGTCTGTTTTCTCCTATCACTAATGCTTGCTAGAATTAATCAGTTTAACATGCGAATTCAGTAAAATATATACTTATGCACATTACCACTGCTCTCCTTTCCGATCTGTGGTAAGTGAAACAGTGGTCCATTAGCTCATCCTCATCTACTTCACACTGGCAATAAGGACAGGAATATCTGGGAATAAGAGGTAGTGTATTGTTACTGGCTGCAGAGACAACTGATACATTCTTAGTACTACAAGCAGTAAAAGAAGTATTTGTATTTCTTCGGCCAGGTATCATTAGAAGCTTCTTTGCCACAGCTAAAATGCAGCATGGGTGCATGACGTGTACCTGGGTGTGATGTATGCTACGCTGGCAAAAGGTCAGCTTTGCTAATGGACGCTGCAAACACTGCACAGAACTGTGCCAGCATGTCAGGATATCGATCCAGAAAAGCACTCTGAACATAACCATGACCTTAGAGAAGAATGGATGAAAATACTGAACACTACAGCTACAGATATCATTTAATTGCTGTGATACACTTGGAGCATGCGTGACCAAACTGCCAATTCTCAGGAGCCCTCATTAAGTAGCAACACTTTCTCGCAGAGGATTCCTACTTATTTTTCAGTAGAAAGCATGGTCCTATTGCATGGTGGGAACACTGTTTTCAGATTAGTGCAGTTTTCAAGTATGCGTGGATAAATGTTCCAAGTTTTTCTGAGAAGGAGATAGGTCTTCTGTGCAAGCAACCTGAATAACGTGTCATTTAGGAATTTAGGTAGCAAAGAGCACAGGGACTTTAAATTACATATATCAAAAAAGCATTTTATAATGATATGAAAATTGTTCCTATTCCTTAATGGACAAAACTAAAGGCCATTGAACTTCAAGACCTCAGTCATTCTAGAATTGCTACACACCTAACTGATTGCTCTAACAGGTCCTGCCCTGAAAGAGAATGAAAGGGACAAAGAATTTGAACTTTTGACATAGGACACACATATATTCTGTAAATATATATATTGTCTATATACACAATGAGTATATAAATAAGAAAAGCTGTCACTCTTCTTAATACAAAACTATTTCTGAAGAACCAATTATTAGATGAGAGCCCACTAAATTTAGATTATTATTAGTCTTATGCATTCTGGAAATAACCAATGTTTTCAAGGAGTCTTATTTGAAAGTAAACATAATTCTTCCCCAAGAAAAATAGCAAAAAATGCTGATTTGTCAAAATACTGTTGTTTCTAGAAAACAGGTCACATGGAGCTAAATTCTATCAAAATCATACTAAGTGCAAGTGAAATGGATTATTTTGTAGTCATATACATAAAAAATAGCATGCATTTCAAGTTTTTTGAGTATTATTATTTTAAAATATTAGTAAAGGATTCATGTTCAATTCTATAAAACAGAAACAAGTTCCAATTTAAAAAAAATAAATCTCAGAGTTCTTCTATCAGTTTGACTTTACTATGTTGAGATAAACCTAAAAGCACTTTTGCAATGTCATCATCACTAAGGTTTACCTTGTTACAGCATCTCCAAGCTCCTGTACAGGTCCATAATTTTCTATGTATTTTTCACAAGTTCTTAAATGAGCTCTCATTTCACTCAGACATACCTAAGCAATGAGAAGCAGCAGCTTGTTATGTTTTATACCATGACACATCACGCTAATATATCACTCTGAATATTTTCTAGTTCAAAGCCTTCCTACAACATCGTGGCTATACCTAGGGAAGAATACGTATCTCCTACTGCTGGCTCAGTTCCTCAAGCATTTTGTTACTGGTTCAGTATTGCTCTAATATATTTTATAATAATAACATTCATCTTATCAGAGTAAAATGAATTAAAGTGAATAATTATTGGTTTGTGGTGATTTTATCTGTCCGTTATGTTGGCCCTTAGTATTTTGGAATGTAATTTGGGAGGCAAAAGGGAAACATTTCTAGTTTGGGGAGCAGGACTCTCCCAGTTCACATCTTGCTCTGTTTTTAATGGTGAAAATCTAGACCAATTCTGTTAAAAAAAAATAAAAAAATTCCAAGTTGAGGGCCCAATTCTGATGTCAGTGAAATCATCAGCGAAACTCTTTTAGAGATGCATTAAAGACAAAATTTGGAGTTTATATTGGTGCTGCTACTGGCTGTCCTATTTCCTTCAACTCAGAACCTCCATATAACAAATCTGATGAAGCACAATCGTGAAGTATTTTCTATGACAAGAAAGAATATGAAATGATATGAAGTTGCCACGTTGAGATATTAAAGTATTATTTGCACAGAAACAGTGCAGAGACATTAATATTACTTATAAGTTATTCTATATTCTTAACCTTTAAACACTGATGACTGGTTCTGGTGAATCTTGGTGAAGAAATTGAATATAACCCAGTGCCAGCTGTCTGGGCCATGGCTCCACTACAAATGATCATCCTGACTGCAGATTCCACAGAATGAAACATGCTCATGCCACTGTGATTTAATTGCAATTTCCACTCCCCGAGTGGAAACTGCAAATGAAATTAGGTTTATACTAACAGTAATCCATGCATTGGCGTGACTGAGGCACCACAGGAGCATTTGCCAAGGGTAGTCTGCCAAATATCAGAAACAACATACAAAGGTATCTTGATGCTATAACGCATTAAATGCACTCTCCTTTTCAACATACCTTAGTGACCTTACATATGGTTGTACTCAAGAAATACAGCCAACACTTTCTGTGGCTGTAAGAAAGATTTTAAGCCCCTGCAGATATCCATAATCATGTCACTTATGCTCTGCCACTCAACAGCAAAAAACAGTACGTAAACTCTACCAAGTATTGAGAAGCCTAGCTAAGCCATACGTAGCTCAGCATTGCTTAACATACCTGTTACAATCGGGTTCCTTCTGCAAAACTTGATTTTAAAAAAAATATTGACATTAAATCCAATATTTAGCTATTGTTAATATCAAGGTGTTGCAGTCCATGCGTTTCATTGTTAGTTTTAAGCAAATCTTTCCCAGACAGAAAATCCATGGCAAAAAGGTAAAGAACCAATAGCATTAACAACAAATAAACATTTTTGCTGCTTTTCTTATGTTCTCCGTAATTCCCTACAACCCTGCAAATAGCAGTCTTTCTGAAGTTCACACATTTACTTGCTGCTTTACATTTTATGGCATTTTCACACTGCTGCTGCTGCTAGACAAGAAAAATTTAAGGGTATTGTTTTGCAGTAAGCAAGACAGGAGAAATTATAAAAGCCAGAAAAAAAAATAAGAGGGAGACACATTTAAGCTATACAGTTGCCTCCCACAAAACACACATAAATATATGAGGAGTGTTCATTATACCGAAAGAGACACAGAGTAAATATTCACAAACATGGCAGAAAATACTTGTTTTATATGAGTTTTCAAGTAAATGTATATTAATTCAATCTTGGTTAACTGGTTTTCCTATTGATACATGCCCTGTCCTCCACCACAAAGTCCTGTTAACCTTTTGCTCTGCATCTTGTTTTGATGAAATGTGATTAACATGTTCCAGTTCAAACAGTAGCATTTAAAACTTCTTTTGCATGTAAGTGATATTTCAAAGGCTTTATTTAGATTTAGGGGAAAAAGCTCAGTTTAGGTAGCTTCACCGGGGGGCGGGGTGTGTGTGTTTTTTAAAAAACTAAAATTCACAAAATTTTATATCTTTGTCCTGTATTTTAACAGATGCAATTGTGGCCAGGATTTTTATAATTAAGCAATCATTATA